GCTACAAGGTGCAACATATCACTATGTGTCCCCATGTGTGGCTACAAGGTACAACATGTCACTACGTGTTCCCATGTGTGGCTACAAGGTTGCTTCAAGTTGCTGGAAGTTGCTGTGAGTTGTGAAGTGTCACCATGTTTGGGTACACTGATGCTACGTCTAGCTTCTTGTATCTACAGGTTATACGTGTTGCTGCATGTTGGTTTGAGGTGTAACATGTCACAACAAATAGTCTCATCCTTTGGGCTCAGATTCCAGATTCTTCTAATCTGTTGGTGAGGTCACAAACTCTAGATTGTGTGATATTCAAAGTCTTCAGTTTTCTCTTGAGGAACATTTTTCTCAAAGATTTCCACTCCTTTTAGACATAGTTCTTCACAGACCTGTGAACCTCTGCCCATCTTTACTTCTGAGAGATTAAGCCTCTCTAAAAGTCTCTTTTTACACCCAGCCCTCTCACTGATCTGCTAATGAAAAATCGGGTCAGGTCTAAAATGTTCCTCCAGCTGGTTCTGATTCTGACCACTGACAGTTACAACCTTTTATTGCACCTGGAACATCTTTTTACAGACGTGTTGCTGACATCAAATTACAAATTTCCTGTTCTTTAAAATAAAATGGAACAATTTCTTAGTTTCATCCTTTGATGTTTGAGCAACTTTAAATGTTCTGGACGTTTTTTTTATTTGAAGTTGAGGTGGTGTCAGCTGGGGGTCCAGGAAGTGAAGGCAGCAGTTTGATATTCAAGGGTGTTTTCCAGGGCTTAATTTGTAAACTGATCGATGCTGGAATGCAGATAGTGGGCGGGCCAGCGTTGGGGGTCTGGGGGTCCTCTCCCTTAAAATTTTTAATCAAGTAGATGTGATGTCCTGCATTTTGGGGTATTTGAACGGTTTGTTACACATCAGCCTCACAGACTGACTATATCGAGTCCTCCCCTGCTGTGTGTGAAGATTTCCTTCACTTCTTTATTAACAAGGTTCCTCTACTTCAGTTCTACGGTCTGCACATGATACGTGGGTTTTTGTACCCTGCTGTGCTGTCTGACAGGTTTGCGCCTGTTACTCTGTCATTGCTACAGAAGACTGTTGGTCAGTTAAAGCCCTCAGGTTCTCCAGATGACGCGATTCCTCCTCGACTAACAAAGTTCAAGCTTAGACGTGACCATGCCTTCAATTTAGCAGCTCCCAAACTATGGAACGGTCTGCCGCTCCACATCAAACAGGCCTCCTCGCTGCCTGTTTTTAAATCCCATCTTTAAACCATCTTTTGACACTATGTCAGATGTTGAATTCATTATTATTTATTTGATTCTCCTTTAATGGTTTAAGTTTTTTGTAATTGCTTTGTTGTTTTTGTCTTTTTAATACAATTTATTTGCATTTTATTCCTTTTGTGCTTTTTAACTTGTCTGTACAGCACTTTGGTCCTGTATGTTGTTTTTTTAAGTGCTTTATAAATAAAGTTGGATTGGATCTACGTTTACCTATTTCCTTCCTGTGACGGCTGCCTGCTCAGCTCTTCACTGTTTTAGGGGCGGAGATTTCTTTAATGTAGACGCAGAAATGCTTCACTTGAAGAGGCAGATCGTGGCTGTTGTGTTTAAAATGAGTGTTTATGCAATTATTTTCAGTTTCCATATCCAGTATAGGTTTTAGTCCTTCAAGGCAGTCATATTTGTCCATAACTTTAATATTAGTAAGCCTGAGAGTTACCAGATCCAGGCCGGATCCTAGAACCCTGTCAAAATAAGAGTTCCCAGATTCTGTTCCGACAGGATCCGGCTCAAATTAAGCCCTGGTTCAGACGTAAAGTGTTTTTTTTAATGTAGTGTTTTTTGGGGTAAAACTAAACATTGTTTAAGGTAAAAACAGATCTGATGTTCTTTGGGGCTGTTTGGACTCAACAACGTGTTTTCCTTTTACGGGTCCTGATCCGCGGCACCTCGGGCCCCTGGGAGCCTCAGCCTCCGCTGACCTCCTTGTAAATCTGGTGTGGGATAAAGAAAACTCCACCTGATAAGAGCTTTACCCCCCTCCCTCCCCCCTCGGCTCCTGTAAACTGTGCCACAGCGCTTCATTTTCATGAAATATGGGCCGAGCTTTATTGTCATCTGAGGAGCTTTTTCTTCTTCTTTGACAAATCTGCGGCTGCTCTCCGGCTGCGCGGCAGCTTTGGTGGTGATGCATGGGGACGGCGCCGAGCGCCGGCGTCTGGGGGCCACCACAATTGATGAAGAGAGAGCGTGTGGGGCAGAAACAAAGCTGCTGCCGTCAGCACGTTGAGGGGCCCTGCGTGTCTTTGTGTCGCTGCTACGGGAGCCCGAATGGGACACACTGTGTGTGCTCGTTTCCAGTTTTAACACAAAGTTTGAGGATTTCTTTACGTGAAAATGTGTTTGAAGAAAAAAAACCTTTGGAAAATTATTTTATAACTCGTGGACGTCTCATGAGGAAAACATAATAAATATTAGCCCACTAGACGAGGCGCCACTTTGTTGTAAAAACAAAAATAATATCTGATATCCTGTTTGTGTCAACCATGATCCTACGTTTAAATCCAGAGGAGGACCAAACCGAGCCTGACTGGACCTTGGCTTTAGAACACAATGAATACAGGAAGTGACATCAAAGCAACTCTAATAACTCGTTAAGAACTTACTAGCTGCTAGCTTTTTGATGCTAGTAGCTGTTAGCACAAGCTAACTAGCCCAAAGTCAAGTTGAAATTAGCTAATTAACTTTTACTACTAAAATTCAGAGTAACTAGCTAAAGTAAGCAGAACACAAGCTAAAGACGAGCAGAACACAAGCTAAAGACGAG